GCCTTACTAGTAGTAACAAGTGCCTTACTAGTAGTAACAAGAAGCTAGTAGAAACAATAAGCTAATAGCTTCTTGCTCCGTTCGTTCTAAGGCCAGGAGCCCCGAACGTAGCGTCCGATCGCTCCTAGTAGCGATGCCAGGAGCCCCGAACGTAGCTTCTTGTTTCTAGTTTGCAAAAGGAACCTAATAGGAATGGCTTCCACCCTAATAGCGATGGCCTCCACCTAGTAGTGTCCTTGCTACTAGTAACTTCTTGTTCCTAGTAGCGATGGCCTCCAACCTACTTGCGATGGCCTCCACCTAATAGCATCCTTGCTACCATCAAAATGGAACACAGAAAAGAAAGGCGTCAGAGCTCAAAACTTTCAGACTGCCAATAAGACATAAATACATGTCTTTGGATGTAATTTTGGTATTGGCAAAAGCCTTCGAGAAGCCTTCGAGAAAGCCTTCTTGTATACAATCCGATGCTAAAAAATGTCTGTGCAATGCGAAACATAAAGAGGAACTTTGGGAAACTCCTACTTGCAAAGAATTTGGGGTTTTGCAAGACGTTTCTTGAAAGAAACAATGCCAGGGGCAGTGAAGTCCAATGCCTTTGGGACCTCAGGTTTTGCAGAGTCATTGATTGAAACTGGAACTGGTAAAAATGCACAGAATAGAAACACACAATAAATGATGCAATGATGGATGTTTTTGATGTTGTTTCCTTTGTTTGTTCCTTTTCTGAACAGAAAAAACGGGTCGGGTGCCTTGGAGAGCTTGTCAATCCCTTCGATGACGCGTCCGAAGACGACATTCTTACCATCCAGCTTCGGCTCGGCCTGCCACCATCTCCACCCCATAACAGTCCATAACCCTGAAGTCCTTAAACAAAAAAGGAAAAGAGAAAGGAAAGGGACCAAAGAAGAAAGGAAAGGCCATGGGCCATGTCTACTAAGGCTTGGGTTTTGCCTGCGCCACCTCCCCTTTCATCTTCATCTCAAGCGATTTAGCCCTACTGGTCTGGGTGCTACAAAAGGCTAGGTGGACAACTCGCCATTTGAGAAGCAAACAGCAAGAGCTGGAGACTGCAACCGCTGGAGCTTTAGTATCCCTTTCGGATTCATGCGGTCACTCGCGGTTTCGGGACCAGTCGGAAACGCTACAAGCATCCAGTTCAATGCGCGAAAGAAAAAAGTGTCGTTCCCTGCCTTTGAAGTAAAGAAAAACTGTGAACAATTCTTCCCTTCTTGCCCTCGCTTGTGTGCCATAGACACCTGAGTTGGACTCATGACAGCCTGCATACTCCTCGATGAACACAACATCTTATCAAAGTCTTTGCAAGCTTAGCAGGTCAAGCTCAACACAGTCGAAAACTGCCCCAAGAAATCCACCGCGTGCAAAGAGTCAGCAAGACTCTCTATAGACAGCTTCTAGGTTGGAGGCCATCGCTATTAGGTTGATCCTAGTAGGCCACCATATATACACACATACAGTATATAGTATATGTGTATAGTATACAGTATATACATTAGAGAGAGAGAGAGTTGATCCTTGAGATCTAGCTACGTCGTCTGTGGCTACGCTGCCCAAGCCATGCCAGGCCGGTCGCTAGTCAAGTTGCAAGGCCAGGCCGGTCGTGCTTCAGCTTGAAGTTTTCAGACTCAAAGGTGCCATCTCCATCCTCGTCGGCGACAAGTCTAGCTAAATCTTCAGGTAATAGCGCTGGCCACCAACCTAAGAGCGATGCCTCCAACCTACTAGCGAT